TACTTTTTCTTCCCCATCAACCTACCCCTTACTTTCCATCTTTGTAATTTTTATTAAATGAGCTGTTGATTGCTACCTAATCAAAGGCATTTTCGTCCTTTACATGTGTGTGAAGGATTTGCCACACTTTCTTGCTGCCTAACCTGGAGGTGGAATGTATGGGGAATTAAATTCTTTTGTCTCATTAGAATAACATTAACAGATCTGCAAGGCCACACCAATTTAATAAGGGAACTAATTCTTTCTGGCTATTAATATCTTTGAATAATTGCCATAATCAATACTTTCTTGTTTTATATCAACTTTCTTTTAACTACTTTTTGCTAGACGGAGCCCTGTCTAATTGCTATGATTGACACTTTCATTGTGTAGACCTTGGAACGATTGCTAGAAAACCCTGTAAACTTTTCCTTTTAGCAAGGTTGTTTGAATTCACTTGGCCAAAATGAAAACAGAAATATCATATACTTGTTGACCTTCAGTCAACAGTTTTCCTTATCCCTAACAGTGAGCTGGAAGGCAATACTACAGCTTCTGTGCCACTTGCATGCATGAATATCTTTGACAAACACCCACACAGGCTTTGCCTGTTGTAGTAATGACCTATTGTTTTCAAACTTTGAAAATGTCAAGGTTCTGTTCAGTTTGGAAAATGCTTTGCACTTTCCATCTCCATTTTTAGAAAACTAGGGTAGTAAAAAAGGTGGAAAACAATTTAAAATAGCTTTCTAGAAAATTGAAACCAAGAGTTTCAACATTTTGTGATTTACTTTATTTGTTGATCGTGTATAAGCAAAAATGGAGATGGAAATCTGAAAATGGATAACTTTTCTGAAGCTGAACTGGCCCTATGTTTCCTCCTGAATGCCATCTTGTATGGTGGCATTAGTTTTCTTTCTTTTCAGTTCACCTATTGTGGATGCTAACACATTTGGCCATAAAAGGTTGTACGGATGTCTATACACTTTGCTGACTTGTTTATGGCTTGCAGGGTATGCCCTCTTTGTCGTGGGGATATTTGCAGACCTGATTCGTTGCCTGCAGAGAACTAGAGGTTTCGGTTTTTCTCCATACTTGCTGAGGAGCAGTGGCAACTGTTGGAGATTGTAAGGCTTTAACCATGGAAAAGATTATTGGTGACAAAAGGAAAAGGAAAAAGAGAGAAGGGAACCAATAATCTTGAGCATGATGCTTTAGGATGTTGAGTCTTTTTCTGCCTGCATGTACTTTATCGTGGGTGGTTGATGATCACTTTTGGGTGCAGAATAAAGATCATTTAGGTTGGGAGAAATGGGCTGAACTTGCAATTTGTACAACTCAGCTGGGAATGAAAGGACAAAGTGGAGGAAGGGTTTGTATTGGTTGAAGAGTGGAGAGGGATGGAAAAGAAATTCATTGTTCATTTTGTTGGTTGGTTTTTTTTTTTTTTTTAAACCTTACCAAGAAATATATTATTAACTCGTATGCTCGACAAAATATCCTTGAGCAGATCGCTAAATCTTCGACTCATCAGAAAGATGACACCACCGCACTCTAATTTTTTCTTCTTCCTAAAAAAAGTCAAAAAGAAAAAATGATGGCTTCAGTTGTGGTGTGTGGTAGTCAAATCAATCGACAGTAGCTTTATGTATCATGTATGGGTCAAGCGAGCAACCATGTCTGACAAAGTGCACAGGAATCTCCTGTGTTTTACCGTGAAAGGCTTAAAGCAAATAGTAATAGGTTGCAGGCTGACATCCCTCTCAGACTTGGTAGCATTAGCATTCCATTTGGCGACCATTGGGAAACAGAAATGTCTTCTTTTGGAATGAGCAGAAAGGTGAAGGGAAAACGTAAGGGAAAGGGGTGGCAAGCATGCTACTCTTTTGGTATTTTCCACACAAAGGCAAACATCAGTGTCTTGCTCAGGCTGCGGAAGCGGAAAACTGTAGAACAAAAAGCACTCTTGTAAATCTTAGGCAGGTGCAAATTGTTGGACGTATCTCATCATTAGCTAACTAAGAGTCTACAAGTAGATGCCATGCCCTGTTTCAGATTGGCTTTCCCGCCCCATTCATATTATCACATCATTTAGCACCTGATTGGATGCCACCCCTAACTAAGACAAAACATGGCAACAGCACTAGTTAAGTTGCCATTACATTTACTTTGCAAGTCCTAAGTTAAAATCTAAACCGCCATTGTTCAACTGACTACTACTTTCATCTTCATTGTATGGATTCGGGCAGTGCTATATTTGGTCATATTCGAGCATATACATACTGCAAACTAGCATTTCATCATTGGCCATTTGACTTACTCCATCAACGTTTGCTGTTTTGATGCAAGTCAGATCCCTTATCGCCTGAAGTTTAAATTCAGCATATCAAACACATATGGGCACCCCAGTCTGAAACATGATTTCTACAACTTGCTTCCAACAATTAGTCAATTTCTGCCACACGTTCATCATATATTGTCTATGTCATTCTCATTAATAATCAAATCAAAACAAGGCCCCTGGAAAGAAATACATAGAAAATGCACACAACTTCCCTGTCCTTATAACTCAGAAACTTACAATTAATCTACTAAGGAAGCCAAGGTTAAAGGTTTCTTCGACTCAACAGCCAAACAAGTTGATCAACAGACACCATAGCACGAGACGCTGAGCCAATTGACCCATCATATCTGATAAAAGTGGATCACAAGTGAAATCCCAGTTTGATATTAAGAAACTATACATTCAAGAGCTCTTACATCATGCACAACACAATTCATTTAGTGTGAATAACAAGTGAAGATGAGCAGACTTACAGTGCCACCAAGAGAAATGTGGATGATTGCATGATGATAGCACCTTCGCCAGTAGATTTCGATGTGTTCAGGCACCTTGCACAGAACCAATTCTCATGAATTGATGTAACCATGTCTGCCATCGATATATCACCTTCCAAACTTTAATGGCTTTATACTTATTATTGAAAACAGACTTGTTACTAAAACCAGACAAGTAAATTTAATGATTTACGCTTTTCAAAAAAAAAATAATGATTTACTGCTGACATGTCTAGAAATAGAAACAGCAATTTATGAACCCAACATATCCAATATTGCACACAAAACCGCTGGTCCAGAATGCGAATCCAACAATGATTATATTTATAAACTTTCTTTAGTCTTTGCTTCCTTTATATGATAAAGAATAATCCAGGAAAGTAGATTCTGCTTGTAACAAAAGAAAGTCAAATTTGAAAGCTGTAACTAGCCAAAAACAAGTCAGTTGCCTATTCAAAGCCTGGCTGTGAGCGAAAGACAAGCGAAGCACCACTTACCCCCTTTCTCTACACAATATAACAGAGATCCACATGCCAAAGAAAAAAAAAAAAGGAATTCTGAACATTTTTCGCCCCAGAAATGTTTGGATGTAAACAATCAAAAAGCTACTGAAAGAAGCAAGAGATAGCAAAATGACAGTCATTTATTGAAAAATCAAGGGAACAAAAATAAGAAATTTGACTTGCAACTCTTTCTCTCTCGTGTCCTAACCCAAATAGAAATGTCATTTAAGGAATTCATATGATTTATTTCAACGCATTAGCAATCCAGAAAATGTACTCCATGAATCTATACTACATATGGATGCATAAAATATGAATGCATGCAAGGCACAAAATACCAGATGCACAAAATTGTATGTGCACAAAATTTACTTCTTATATTTTCCTAGGAGCAAAATTTCCCGTGCACATGCACAAAATTGTACTAGTACATTAAAATGATGAGCAAAGCAACAATTTTAGAGAAAGTCCAATTTCATACTGACATTTTAGCTTTCAACAAATTCATAATTTAAAAAACAAAAGGTCTGTAGGTAGCAAATTACATTGGTTATGCCCAATATTGAAAGTCTCTGTCTGCAGTTTGTTTCGCTTGATGAAACTGACAAATTGACTCAGTTCAATGGGGTTGATCTTTATTCCTTCCTGTTCAGCACTGTCAGACAAATCACCATTTTCAGTTTTCTAAACAGAATAAATATCTTGGCAAAGAGAGAGGTATGATGATGACCATAATAGTATAGAACATGAAACATGTTTCTTTCACTTCTATTCAATTTATATATTCACAAAGCAACACGAGATGAACAAATGAGTTTTCTTTCCTGTCACTTGAGAATGTCAAACCATTCCTCTGGCACACACCATTGATACATTACCACTGGCTAAGAATGTCAGAAAATATACCAGCCACAGATAAACAATGGAATAACTTCAAAAGCCATATTGACTTGATAATAACCAAGAAGCACAAGGAAATAACCTCAAGTTAGATTATGCCAGAAAGAAGACACACTTACAAATCAGAATTGTTAAACATGTTTTGACACAAAGGGCAAACACATTCATAGTACAAAACTACCTTGTTTGTGCTCTAAATTATTAAATTTGTAAAGCTATTAACAAAACATAAACCAACAAAAGCAGGCAGCAGAATTGTTTTCAAAATGAAGATTAGGAAAAAGAGGCGGATTAAAATAACTACCAGGTATTACTAAGGCATGGTTGACCAGCAGACAGAAGCCTTGATTCATGAAATTAAGGCTATAGCCTATACGATGTGAAAATTTAAGCCGCCAATGAGCAATATATGATTTCATGAGACTCTGAAACGTAACTTACATGGTAGACAACAAACGAGAGGGTCTGAACGGATCATAATTAATCAGCAACGCAGCCTTCAATGGCTCACCTACAATTTCGAACAAGCAACATCTGCAGCCCCAATCGAAATTATGTGGTAAAAGTAAGGAATGAAAATTGTTGAGATAGATTTACCAGAAGAGCCAATATTGCTGGAAACCCACTTGTCCCAAGATTTTTGTATAAAAGCCCAATCCATTGCACCTCAAACCTAATCAGTAATCAACAAGAAAACAACAGCTTAAGCAAATAAGCTGATAAGTTGAAGGAAGAACACAAGAGAAAGAGAACGCACGTTAACTAGGTGGATTGGTGCTTCCCCTGGGAATGATAATTCAATAAGAAAAAAACAGGTTCTCAGAAGAGGAAATCTGAAATCTGAAATGATGAGTGAAAAACGAAGACAAAGGGGAAGTGAGTATAATTGGAGAAGAACCAAATGCAGGTGGGGAAGAAAAGGCACGTACTTTGTATTATATGTATCGTATAGATTCAGGGACGGCTTACTTTCCCTCTTTGATTCGTAATACGAAAAGTGGAGTCTCTCAAGTCACAACAAAGCGAATACCAAGGTACCCAAGGCCGGTGCTTTCTCTCTTCCCAAAGGAAAAGGCCGCTGCTTTCTCTCTCTGTCTCTCACAAAAACAAAAACCTAACCATGGCCACAGTACGATTACCAGCACATGGTTTGAATTTTATTCTTATGTTTTTAAATTTCTTGGCTTTTTAATTGTCAAAAGTTGAAATGGACCTCCACGTTGGTTTTGCATTTACTAATAAAGCGCATGGTCTCTTTTTAACTTATGTGCTGCCATGCGTCCCAGTTTAAACTGTATTTCGAGGGGTCCTGTCATCGGCTGGCTGCCATAAAAGCATACACATACTAGTAAAAATCTTGGATTAATTTATTTTTATCCAGTGTACATAAGTGGCAACTACATTACAAGATTGCATAAATAAGAGTAGAAGTAATGATGCAAGTTCAAACAAATTGTAGCCTTGCTTCTGAGATTATACACTAGAATAATCTTGATAAAAACAACAACCCAGATAGGCAGAGATGGGATTAGCTGCTGGGAGACATGAACCATAGATATGCTTCGATTTAATTAAATTATTACGGCATCAGAAACAAAGTCTATATATCTGGGAGTTGTGACTCAGAATCAGTGTTCTGGCAAGTGGGGTTGCAGGGGTAAGGGCAGTCTATCTTTTGGACGGGACTCCGCTCATAATACCAGTCTCCAACAGCCTTCGCGATTTTCTGCACCACATAATAAATTTTCAATCACAAAGAAAATGAGTAAAGAGCTACAACGGCCAACAAAATCCGAGAAAGTAACTACAAGGGGGGAAAATGAAGGAATCTCTTACCGTGTTACCCACTGCAGGGGAATTGTTGCTTGACCATGTTATCTGCTTTCCTGCTTGACAGTGGGCATAGCAGGAGTCTATAAACATTCCTCTAGATGAAGAGCTGCCAGCTCCGGTTAGGGCACTTAAGAATTGTGCCCTGAAATCTGTGATAAGAAAAGAACAATTTTCCTTTATTTATGCTGAATTTCATTCAGGACGTAAATAACTTTCTACCCTTTTAAGGAGGAGGCCAAAGTGCTTGAAATAGTATGTAACAACCAAGATTAACTACTTGAAGCATTGTCTTAAGTTTAGCAGTCACCATGGATGATTTTGAGCTGTCCAGGTGTACACTTCTTTAGATCAAGCTTGCAGCTTTTCCAGGCCTTACCAGAGTCAGCAGCAGTGGGTGCCAAAATGTTCTTGATCTGATGAATATAGTTACCATGAGAATTAGAGTTCACTTTAGGAGAATAAAGTATGATATTCTTCATATGCTGATTGCAAATAAGAAACTGAGATAACGGCTTTAGCATTATGATACTTTCACAAAACACATACTATTGGACAGCAAAAATTTAAGTTATCTTTACGAACTCAGCACCCAAGCTGCAAAACTTGGCTCTGCCTAATACATGTCATTTATGTCACAGTCTGTAAGGCCCTTGTCAAACTGAGGGTTCCACGTTAGGCTTCCAGGTAGAGATGGAAGTTATTTTTCCTTTTCCACGATTTCATTTCTTAGTTTTTTTTTCCAATGTTTGATCATATGGAACTGTAGCATGCAAGAAGCCTAGCTCTCTCAATCGACTGTGAGCATATTATAATTTTTGGTATATATAGTAACATCAAAGAATATTTCTGTCATGTTGGTTCAATTGTCATGGTTTTATTAAGAAAGAAAAAAAAATCTTGAGACGCAGAAATATGCTGACCTGCCAGGAATCATAAGCTGCGTTTATGAAGAAGATTGGTGTTTGCATAGTTTGCACCACGTACTGTGGGAAGAAACACTGCAATTTTTTGCAAAGAATAATGGTGAGAATGAAGCGGAAGTGCAGAAGATCAGAGAAGATGCTATTGTTATTTTTTTTGATGGAGAAGATGCTATTATTATGGTATCAAAATAGCCACACCTACCAACTCTGGTTTCATACTCATTCTTGAAGTGCAAGATGCTGGCAAATTCTTAACAGATCCCTGCACAAAGACATTACATTTATAAGACATTTATTACATATCCATTTCTGTCTTGTTTGAGAAAAAGGAAAAGAAGAAGAAAATGGGAGAAAGAATAGAGACAGTACATGTAATTTAGCCACTTGGCTATAGAAATTTTCAATGTGCTGCCCCCCAGAAACATCCTTCCTGCCAGAAATAAAGAATTCTGTAATGTTAAATAGGAGAAAATGCAACTATTTTAAAGATTTTCTGCCATTGTTTCAGATATAATTAAGCTCAAGGCAGAAGTTGCTTCATCTGAACTTACGCATGAATGAAGAAGCCAGCATCCGAAATGCATTTTACTTTAGTTGTAGCCGGAAGGAGAGCTCGGAATCTATCACAGTGCAATATCGAAGCCAATCCACCAGCAGAACAGCCTGAAAGAATAGCCTATAATAAACAAATTCCAACAAGTTATCAGCAAGTAGAATAAGTAATGGTAAAAAGGTTAATGAATGAATTACCAAAAATCAAACTAGGCCTTACGTTCTTAGCATTTCTCATTCCTTTTGCTAATAGATCTTCAATGATAGCTTCCCAAATTCTATTTCCTCGGAAGAACAGATTATTAACCTGATCATATAAAAATTAGTTTAAGAACCAGAAAATGCCAGGAAATGATTCATGTATATGTTTTCCTGATAATTCAAAATAACTTACTGGTGCCTCCACATCGCCTGTGAATGATGATCCATCACAGTACCTAACCTTAATCCGATTCCAGTTGTAGAAATCTATATGTTCAAATAAAACAAGTCTGTCACTCTGTAAGGATGAAAGCATCCGTTGTGGAGCTTAACTAGAGGGAAATTTGTCTAATCCTACCTGGATTGGATTTTTGCTGGCTGCTCAAAAGTCCAGAGAAACCAAATTGCTTGACCATTTGCTTTGATGAGCCTAAATCAGTATCCCTACGAGAAAGGCACCTTTCTACATCTTCACACCATCCTCCACCCTGTCAGAGTCATGCAAAACACATAATTAGATTAAAGCAATGCTGTCATTGTTATTGACCGTGACTAAAGCAAAGCTGTCTTCTTTTTCCTTTGAGATGATTAACTAAAAGCCAACCCTTTTTTAAAGTTAAAGCCTTTCATATCAGCAAACACACAAGAGCAATGGGGTGTGAGAAAAGGACTCACCTCCATGTGAACCAACCAATTATTAACTCCAGCGCCAGAGCCCGGGTCGAAATGGTAAGCAGGTGGGCTCCCATCCAAACAAACTGCCCAACACAGAAATGATATATCAAATATACTAGCGGTACTAGTACATATACATTATGTAGCTCACGAAGCAGATGAAAAAAAAAAGTGGGGGGAGAGTAATCTCTTACCAGCTCCTTTTGCTACAGCATTCTGCAGATAAGTAATTCCTACGCTACCGCCTTCTGCTTTCAGTAATATCAGCAAGCAGCAAACGAGAAGACTTAACCATTGGCCTAATCTTGCACCAATCATCCTGCCGCAATACTTGTATTAATCAAGAAGTAGTGTAATCAGGGAAAAGGAAATACAGATGGCCAAATATTATAAATTTAAAAGGCTGTTTCTGGCTATAATTTTGTTTTCCCAGCACAAGAATATGGTAATGTAAAAGATACTATATACACCCATTCTACATTATTAGTAAAGCATTATCCAAACATTAACCATCAGATTAACCAGTAATTATCAACATCATCATCTCACTTAAAACCAGTATCTAGAAATAAAGCTGCAAGTTGCAGTTAATTCCAATCACACATCATCATCATCATCTCATCTCTGCCAGGCCCCCCAAGGAAATAAAAGCGTGACAGACACTCCCTTGATCTCGTTATCGTCATTAATAAGTTTCACGTTTTGCGATAAGTATCTACCTATAAAGACAGTTGGCCACATAATAATAATAATAGTTGGTTCTTGCTCTGACACAAAGTCTTGGGGTCAAATGTTAAAACAAAATATATAAAGTAATACGAATTTAACAATATTGTTTTTTTTTAAAAAAAAATGGAATCGATCACTACTAAAGAAGCATAATGAAGATCGAAACAATTCAGGAAGATGCTAATGCTATAAGTAGTAGTATGTATTTTTTTTTTAATAAAAAGAAATAGTAACCTTTAAAATTTGACCAAAGAGTCAGAAATCCATAATGCTGTCCGTGGGTAGCGGATGGTATATATTTATGTTAGTTAAAAAACCAAAAGGTTAGGACCAAAACAGCTAATCAAAGCTAATAATTAATAAAATAGAATTAGTAGTCAAAATTCAAAAAGAAAATATAATATAAGTTATATTTATGAAGGGAAGGAGGTGGAATTGGTTTGAATCATTGTTGAATACGCAAATGGCCAAGACCGAATCGGCAGCAGGAACAACATCCTCCTCCATTTGTTTTGCAAATACTAGAAAAATAATTGTGGTATGAAAGGAACAAAATAAAGGGCATGGGTCAAAGTCACTACATCTCATCCATTGTTTTGTTTTGTGTGTGAAAAATAATAATAATAATAATGAACCATTTGTCCCAAAGATAACCGTGTTTCTCGTTCAAAAACCAATCAGATTTTCCATTGCGACCGGGACCGGGACCGGAACCGGAGCAGCAGCACGGCACTCCCCGGTACTCAAACAGCGAGATGAAAGACTTTTCCATTCTAAAGACCACACCATTGTCCTTCACCTTCATCGCTTTTCTCTTGATTCGCTGTCTGCCTGTCTGTGTCATCCTCACCCAGCACCCATGCCCAGGAAAGAGAGGTGAGAGTAAACTAGTCCTAATAATAATAATAATAATAATAATGATAATACCCGTAAATGTAATATGTTAAAAAAGCACACACACAAGTTTCTAAGATTCAGGACCCTTGTGCTGAAGATTTTTTCTAGTGCATTTATTTTTATTTAAAATGGAAGCTTACCTTGAGGGTGGAGGGCGGAGAAATGAGACGTATACAGTGCAGCTTGAAACCTTGACGACGTCCTAGTAATTTTCCAGCTGATCTGTTCAGCTACAAATTCTTTGTATTTCTTTTTCTTTTTCTTATCACTAGTACAAAACTAAATGCTTTTGCTTTGTGAGCGACCGCTGAAGCTGATTCCTTGTATACTTATAGGCCTTGTCGGATCTATCCTTTTCTTCCTGTCCGCCAAGTGCTACCGCGTGCCAACTAAGCAGAAAAGGTAAAGTCCACAGTTTTAGGTGTCGGTGCGCTCATTAAGTTAACTTGTTCAAAGCACTCGCCCAACTGTGGATGCCTCATAGTCATGGTGTCTTAAAACTGTTCATTGTTCGATTCCAATTTCCAAGCCAGCCACTGTGGTAAATGCTTCGAGTTACCGCCAAGGAAAGCACACTGCTTTATTAGCTACTCGGGAACTCAACTCACCCAAGGTATCCCAGGATTCCTGATTGGCTATACAATAAAAAGGAAATCTTTTTTATTTTAAACGGACATTTATCACAAGGAAAGAGAACATTACGTATTGAATTGGTTTGCACGAAACACTATTACTACTATTTCTACTGTAACTCTAAACCTAGACTTTTTATTCTTTACTACTTGGAAAAGGCTGGTCTGTTACCGACGTCCCCGGTCTCAGCCATTGGTTCGGCTTCTAATATTCCCCCACCACCACGTTGCATTCTAGAAAAAGCCATACCTTTCTCCTATCTATTGGCCTACGTGTGCTGTTTGCTTGCATTGCGTCTGACTGATTAAACTCAGAAAAGAAAAAATATAGTAGAATCCATGTCGGCTTTATAAGCGGACAGCAATCGTGCATATATATATATATATATATATATATATTGCTAAAGAAACCTGACCTTTTCCCTTCATGGCTGTAGTAATTCAACCATCTTCAGAACTAATCGATTTTTTTGTTTGTAATAAATAATTATGCTCACCATCAGAGTAAATTTTAGATTGGAAAAAAATTGATTTATTAAGAATGAGAATCTGAATACACAAAGAATGAAGCCACCCAGCACACAAGTTTAGTGCAGTGGTGGTCTATGCTTATTTAGAGGACTTGACCAATCGTAAATTTCATTGCATTCAACCTAAATAATGGTTTCTGTATATATCTATATATGTATATAGAATTAGAAAAGACGATCTAAAAATTGGGGTAGTGATGAGCCGGCTGTTCATAAATGCGGTTGTGGCAAGTGGGGTTGCAAGGATAAGCACAATCTATCTTTTGGAACGGATTCCGGTCATAAAACCAGTCTCCTACTGCCTTGGCGATTGACTGCACAAATACATTTTACCAGAAACACATTCAATGTTAGTTTCGACAAGGGAAAGAGATTAAATAAACTAGACAAGATAATAAGGCATTGGCTTACGGTTTTATTCAACAATGGCGAGTCTGGCATAAGCCATAATCCCTGCATCTCAGTTTGGCAATGGGCATAGCATGAGTCTATAAACATTCCTCTTGATGAAGACTTGCCTAGTCGAAGCAGTGCAACTAAGAATTGCAACCTGAAGTCTGAAATAGAAAAAATTTTGATGAGAGCCCTTAGCTAAGTTTTCCAACATTCATTTCTTACCATTTACAAAAGCTATCAGACTATAAACTTCAAACTCTTGTACGCTATGAACCCAAAAAGAAATTGGAAGCTGCCTAGGAGTCTAAAACAGGGTTGTTGAGTCACCTTGCATAGTTTTGATTTGGCTGGGCAAGCAGTTCTTTATATCAAGCTTGCAGCTCTCCCAGTAGCCATGGGGATCAGCAATGCCAGGTGCCAAAATGTTTCGTATCTGAATGGAAAGAAAGAATCAGAGATTAGAGAAGTAGCAAAAAACAAAGAGATTTATCTCAAACAGGTGAATGCTATATGGTAGCAGCGGTACATGCAATGTTTGGGTATAACTTTGTTTTCTACCATTTCCTTTTCTTTCCAAATTACAGCTAAACTGAAACTATATAAACAAGGAGCGTTTCCCACAAATTTTGATGGTACTCTCATTGCAAACTTTTGATTTTCGAAACCAATTAAACAGAAATTCCTAAGTAATAGAAAAGAAAAGGGAAAAAGGGGTTTAACGTTTGCATCAAATGTATTTATCGCATGACCTCTACAGTACAAAACCGCAATAGACATTAAAAGAGGGTCAACCAAATTTATGGCAGAATTATAATTCCAGTTTTTAAGTCTAGAAATAAGAAATAAGAAACCCTATCTAGTAGGCTACAAGTGGTATGTCAGGCAGGAACTTGAAGCCACCGTCCAGGGATCTACACGGACGCTCAAACTTGATAAACAAAGAAATTAAGCTGAAAAAGTACGCAGACAAAGCGTCCTGTCATTTTGAGATGACAGACTAGGCTTGTGCAAAGGATTTGGTCTGAGTTAAATGATACATGAAGATGAAGCATAACTTTATACAGCTTTTCAAATTTACCACTGTCAACAAAGCTGAGTTTCGTGGTTTGCAAAGTTGTCTAGCCATAACAAAAGGAGATCAAATGACCAAAGCAACTTGTATTTGTTACATACAATTTCAACATTGATTTACACGATCATTGTGCTAATCAAAATGAGCTAACCTGCCATGAATCGTATGCTGCATTGATAATAAAAAGAGGTGTTTGTATTTGCTGCGCCATGTATTCTGGGAAAAAACACTGTAAAATGTAGATGAGTGCTGGTAAGATGGACGTTGCAATGGTGGAAGAGTGAAACGAGAAACTGAGTAGCAACACTTACCAGACCGGGTCTCATTCTTGAAGTGCAGGATGGAAGCAAATTCTTTGCTGATCCCTTCAAGAAAGTAAAAAAAAAAACGTAACAATCAGATGTCCCTTCACCACTACCTGAGCTGGACTAAAACCCAAACTAAGAAGTACTAATTGATAAGCCTCACAAGTATGAAAACATAAATATTAAAAGGTTAAAAGAACATTCATCCGAGATACGGAGAAAGAAAGAGTACATGTGTTGCAACTAATTGGTTAAAGAAAGCTTCAATATAATGTCCTCCAGACACATCCATCCTGCAAAAGAAGACTTATAACGTCATATTGCGTAAAAGAAATATGTCAGCTACCATTTAGACTTCAATACACGTCTGGGCAGAAGGTCCTATTAACGAGCTTACGCATTGATAAAATAACCAGCATCTGAAAGACATTTTACTTTAGTACCCATAGGTAGGAGGGCTCGGAAGCTATCACAATGCAAAATGGACGCCAATCCACCAGCTGAACATCCGGAAAGAACAGCCTATACAAAGAAATTTAATTAAACAAATCACTAGTTAACAGAGAATCAGTACAAGGAAAGGCAGGAAATGGTTGACAGATCATAGAAAAAGCAAAAAAAGAATCTTACATTTTCAGCATTTCTCATTCCTTTGGCCAACAGATCCTCCATGACAGCAAGCCAGACCCTCGCACCTCTGAAGTGAAGATTAGTGACCTGATGAAATTTCTAACTGATTAAAAATACATAGAAAGAAAAACTATCTCAAGTCTCCCGAGAATCTTCAAGTCCAGCCAAGATTAGCAATAACTTACTGGATTGACTGCTGCCACGTCGCCTGTGAATGATGATCCATCACAATACCTGACTTTGACTCTGTTCCAATTGTAAAAGTCTGCAAATCCAAGTGAAATTCGTTAAACTACTCGCAAACCAAATAAAACATGATGGAAAACTAATTGGAAACCAAGAAGCAATCGAATAAATTATAAGTCCGTGCCTGGATTGAATTGATGTTTGTTGTTCAATATGCCAGAGAAAGGAATTCGCTTGACCATTCTTTTAGAGGAACCTAAATGAGTATTTTTGCGAACCAGGCAACTAGTGACATTATTGCACCATCCTCCTCCCTAAGAATTCAAAGCAAGTGCAATTATCATGAGTAACACCACATAAGGAACTTAAAATTGGTGACGCCATTATGACATAAAACCAAACTATCAAAGAAGTCAGTTTTCTGTAATTTAACCTATAGGATTCAACATAAACTCCTTTCATTGTCAAACATCACAAAATCAATCAAAACATAATACTGTTTCATGTTATAAATGGATTTTGAAAAGTGGACAAACCTCAAGCTGAATTAACCAACTGTTAATTCCAGTTCCGTATCCCCTGTCCCAGTGGTAAGCTGGCGGACTTCCATCCAAACAAACTGCAGTCAAATCAGGATTTAAACATAATAAGCGATTTACCTAAGCAAAACCAAAGAGGGAAAGAAAAAAAGAAAAAAAACTGACCAGCTCCTCTCGCTACTGCACTTGGAACATAGGTAATTGGGACGTAAACCCCTTGTGTTTTGAACCACAGCAGTCCCAAAAGAAGAAGATGTAGCCATTGACAGGATGTTGTATCCACCATTCTGTGCATATCAAACATTTAACACGGCATGGCCAATTGAATTGCGCAACTAAAAATAAAGAAAGACAAAGGGAAACAGAGCACATCAACCAACATACCAAACCAAAAATCAAAAATGAATTGAAAGATAATTTTTGGCTTACTTAAACAACAGAATGTATATAGTGATATCCTGCTAATGGACAAAGAAACCTATTGTCCTCAAGATCACTAATGGTAAAAAGCAAAACCAGGGCAGAAGACGATTGATATTCCAACAAAAAAAAATGAATATTGGGTATCATCTAGATCCTAACAGCAACAGTAGAAAACTAAAATCAAAATTTAAAAAAAAAAAAAGACAGAATAGCCAATGTGAATCAGCGACCAGATTAGCGAAAAATAATCAATGTAAACTGCAACATGGAGCGGCCATTGAACGTAACAATTGAAAGCAAGAGAGAAGAAGAGCAGAACAAGACCTGAAGATGGGATGGGACCGCCTTCGGAGAGAATGCGATGGAGTTGGCAATCCAGCTCTCTCCCCGTCCTCAGTCCTCAGAGCATTCGAGTTCCAACTTCCAGGAGAGCAAAAGGAGTCTGAATTCTTAAACCAATAGAGAAAACGGGATATGTGTACAGGAGGAAGAAGACAAATTATGTGAAAAGTAGCCTTTTTGATGAGTGAAAACTGGAAAGTGGCAGTGCGCCCTTTTGCATTGTGTTTGTGGGCTGCAAAAAGGACTGACTTGCAGTTTGAGCAGAGAACAGGACCCGAGAGCCGACACTGATCCTCTCTTCAAACTTTTAAAACGCCAATACCAAGAAAAACCCAAAATTACTCTTTTCTTTTTTACTCTATTTGTTTTGTTTTTTATTCAGTCAATTTGGGACCCCACCCATGACATGACATCATGCATACGGTCCTCGACATATATGGAACGGAATGAACCAATCGTAACGGCTTACACGTTACACGTTCCAGGTTCCACCATCAGCGAACGGTTTTTCCTTTTTTAGATAATTTTGAGTTTGTGGTGAATTATACCTTGGATAGATAGGACAAGGATTTTGAATTTATAAATTGGAATTTGAGTTCAATAGATGTGGTGTATAAAATGACATACTAGTAACAAGAATATTACAAATTCGAGTAAGAGATTATATTATTAAATTATAAATAAATATTAATATTACAAATCTATTTTTTTTAAATAAAATGTAACAAACTTAAATTACCTGTCAAAAAATAAATCTCTTCATTAGTTAGAAAACAATAATAAAATCTAAATTTCCTCTCTAAATATAAAAAAACAAAAAAAAATGTGTTAGGTGATAGATGAATGCGAAATATTGAAATGATAAAAATTGAAAATATCTTATCTAAGATTTAAAAATGTGTAAATTTAAAACCCAAAGCTCTTGATCTTATCGTTGCTTGTATTGCGTCATTGAAGGTGTCATGGAAAGTGCAGAATTTAGTGGAGAAAATTTGATTAGGAGAGAGAATAAGAAAAAGGACGATTGGTGGATGTAAATGGGAATGTTGAAGCCCATGATTGGAACAGACACCGCTCGTTAGTTTGGACGTGGCAGACGATGATACGTTGAGGAGGGATCCGCAAATGGTGGATGCAGCTTCGGTTTTACACGACACGTGATTGACGGTGATTAGATTACTTTCCATGTCTTGATAAAGCTGGTGACCCACTGCTTTGGCTACCTGTTTTGTGTACTTCCCTTGATGCAATCTTAGTTGTCACCCAATCAAGTAATTATCAACTTAATCAAAAGGCTACTCCTCCATATTCAATTTTATGAAAATTTAAAAAAAAAACAAATAATTAGAGTTGAACGGAATATTACTTATTTTGACCTTTTAAAGGAATTTTCAGGATTATTATTAAATGTATGTGCCAGTATATAAAGCAAGACTTATGGCATAAGTGGGTTTGTTAGTGGGAATGAGTTGAACTAACATATCAGCCAAAAAGATGTAATCCTATATATGATATAATGATAATATGTGATAGATTCTCTCACCATATGCGTTTGAGATGTCATGTCATAGACAATTAAAGCTATCAACATTTAATAGTAATCATCTAAATTTAGTTTAAAAAAATCAAATATTTAATATAATGCAAAAGATTGGTTTGTTTTGTGGGTAAGAAAATGAGGACCACATTCAAAGAAGAAAGTTGGAGCCGATAAATAATAATAAAAATTAAAGCCCACAAATTGAGACCCGTCAATTTAGAGATGTGACATAGTCTACAAAATTGACCCTCTTAATAGACGAGCATCACTTATTTGTTGGGGTCCTATTCCTATCTTTTATTTCTCACTGCACTTGTGCATGGCTGCATGTGCACACATCCTCTCCATTTAAACATTCAATTAATGGCTTTTGTTATACGATTGGCATCTGATTCCACTTACGTTTTTTCTTCCTTTTTTAGTTTTCTCTTTCTTATGCTTGCTGGCTGCATAACCAGCAAAATGTGGGTAAATACTAAACCCCCCAAAAAAAGAGGAAAAATTAAAAATAGCACAATACATGTTTATAGCAAGAACATAGAGAGAAAAGAAAACCAAACCCGAATTTCAAACATCAATCAATGATTAATTTGGGAATAAGAAATTAAAGAAACATAAACATGTGGTTGGTGTTGTGTAATTATAAGATAAGATAAAAGACCAGCAAATTTGGTGGAAGCAAGAAGATTGTCGCCATCTCCAACGGAACCTTATGTATATACCAATTATCATTGTCTTCTAAACTTACTTAACATAAAGCACAAACGACAAGTTGGTGAACCAACCCAAAATTAAAGATAGAAATGACTTGGATTATAAATAAGTCAATAAGGGATCAAAGAGGATGACATGAATTCCACCATCACATTAATTCGCTCAACTTGTTCTCGGATAAGGAACAAGCATGCTTAATTTTTGACGTTTGAAAATCAAATCAACGTCATTGAATTTGTAATCCAAAACCAATGACTAAATAACCAAAAGCATAAATCAATGGTCCCAACCATTTCTTGTTTCTAAGTTAGGTTTTCATCCATCATTGAATCTTAACTTGGTCCACATATTGTTTTTAGATTTAAATATTTTAAGATCATGTTGGCCAATTGGAAAACATGTTCCGCATGCCCTTGCGGCCTTTATTACTTAGGTATTTTTGCCTTATCTATGTACAAAAGAAATTTGATGAGAGACTTTAAAATTTGGAATTGGGACTTGGACTTGCAAATTTTATGTGAATTTGATGGATTAGGAAAAAGACAGCGGCCTGCCTCCCTGCGAGACTTAATGAGCCCACATGTGACGACATTCTTACAAAGCGTGCGACTCCTTCCCTGTTCCCCCACCCATCACTTTCTTTAGAAACATATTTGATTTGGGTGTAGCAATGAATGGGAATCTTTTTACGCAAAAGTGAGGTGTGTGTAAGCTGAACCCAACAGACCCATGGGCTACCTTGTTAACTCTTTTCTCTTTTCTTTGCACTGGTGGGCTTGGGCTGCCACTTTCAGAGGGTTTGAAAAACAACTTGAAAGCGGTAGTGCACACCTTGACATGCACATGAACTACCACATGCTTGTCAGGTTTAGGACTCTGACTTTAACCGGTCGCCAAAGCCCACCCGTTCCTTCCATCACCCGCTGCGTCAGGTATGATATGCTTTCGACTTTCGCCTGTGCTCTGCACTCTGCACTCTGCACTCATCTCTTTTCTCTGTTTTTTGTTCCAAATTTTATCAGTTTAAAGTTTTAGTTTTAGCATTAATTGAAAGTGGACAGAACCAGAAATTGTTGCAGCAGCGGCAAAATGAGTGTGAATGTGAGTGCGGGACGAAGCAGCAGCAAGTCAGCACCAATAATTCAGGAATTTGTTAGTGTAGAAGGCGCTGGCATCCATTCCAGAGGCAAACCTGATGCTATCAGATTCCGTCTTGTCTCTTACAACATTTTGGCTCAGGTAGCTTGGCTTTTGTCTATTACTAGTGTTTGGGGATCATTGGGTCAGTTTTTTATTATTGTTTTGTGTACGTAATCCAAATTCCTAAGCTTGGAGTTTGAGGGGCTCTTAGTATTATGTTTCTACTTGTAGGCGTACGTCAAGAGCTCTCTGTTTCCGCATTCTCCATCTCCCAGCCTCAGGTGCCCACTTTTTTTATTTTAATTATTTCCGCAATTTGATATCCAAGTAACTTAGTATTGTATAATCCACCAACATCAAACTGCCATGTACATTATTCTTAATCTTCTGATTGTACCTTATTACAGATGGAAGGCTCGTTCACAGGCTATTCTAACTCTTCTTAAAAACCTCGGAGCTGACTTCTTTTGCCTTCAGGTTTGTTTCCTTCATTGAAATTAAATTCATGAATATGCACTTATACCACTACTTTCATCGCCCTCGCCTGCTTCTATTCTTCCGTGCATTGACTCTGTCTGTGTAAACATGCACGTGTATTGAGTGTACTTGTGCATATTGTTCTTATTTTCCTTATAAATGGTCTTAAAACGTGCCAGGAAGTGGATGAGTATGATTCCTTTTACAAACGAAACATGGAGGATCACGGGTATTCCAGTATCTATGTTCAGAGAAGTGGGCAGAAGCGCGATGGATGTGGAATTTTTTACAAGAACAACTGGTATGCTGAAACTACGCTCTACTTCTTTTCAAACAATTTCTTGAAAATATATGCAAGAATATCCAAGAATATTCTAGTATATAAACTAGAATTTTTTGTAAGGACAACTGTTTTTAAATTAAATATCTTACTCGTTCTTAGGTGTATATGCATTGTGTTTCACGAGTGTTTTTTCAATGAATTTTGCTTTTATGAGGTCCTCTTTTCGCAATGAAGCCTTCACACTATCTTCTTTTATTTTTTTTAATTGGGGGAAGTGGGATTTGAAACTTGATATCTTAACAGCGGGATCATGCACCAACTAATGAGCCAAATGCTTGGGTGCCATCATACTATCTTATTTTGCAAACTTACCTTTGCACAATTGCTTCAGTGCAGAATTGCTCACAAAGGAAACAATAGAATACAATGATCTCGTAGACTTGTTGCTGCATGAAACCTCCTTATCTGCTGACAACCAGAATGAGACACTGGCTGATGGAAATAATGGTGCTCATGCAAAGAGTGGTAACCTTTTCTATTGTTAAGTTTTCTTTTTGCATCCAGTCACATCCTTATTGTACTTTATGACTTTTTGCTTGAGATTTTGGTATCTTGAAGCCACGTTAGCTAGTTGCCCCAAGTGTCTGTTTGCAGAAATGCAAGCAATGGGGTAAAAGCATATTGCATGTTAGGTTGGTAAACTATGACTGGTTCATAAATCAGTTTAGATTAATAATAATAGATCATATATTTTGCAGAGCTGATGTTTAAATTTTTAAGATGGTTCTTCTTCTGCTGGAAAATGGATTTCCATGATGCAAGAAGTTCAGAACTAGCATTGTCATCAGCTGAGCAAATAACTGCATTTTAATCACAGCAGTCTTCTGATTATATGTATTATAGATAACATCTGGACTACTTGTCTCTCACTGAAGTTTTATTAGTTGATATTAAAGCACAAGCATAGTTTGATGAAGAACAAAAATGATATAGTTCGTCAAATATGCTAAGCAAATCTTAAACCTTTATTTGCTTTATCTATCTGTATATGGATAATTTCACTTTTCATTTTTCATTTCCTCCCTTTTTTAGCTAAAATTATTTTTTGTGATTGAACTTCATATCATCTCCGACTACAAACTAGAAATGATATGGGATGCTGGTATTTCACTTCTTGGATGACTTGTTTCCAGACTCACCAGTAAAAAGTAGTCCAGAGCGCCGTGGAGATCCCAATGATCCGCATGTAAGATTGAAACGAGATTGTGTAGGAATTATGGCTGCCTTTAGACTCAAGGATCCTTTTCATCATGTCCTTATTCTGGCAAATACACATCTTTACTGGTAAACTATCCAAATTTTCGTTTATCTATTTATTGTAAATATTGTGTTTATAAATCTTGGCTTCTATGAGGTTGGCTATGCTGAAGCATAAGTATATTTAATGCTGTTTTTATTCCAGGGATCCAGAGTGGGCTGATGTTAAGCTTGCCCAAGCCAAATATCTTTTATCACGGTTAGCTCAGTTTAAAACACTGGTAACAGACAAATTTGAATGTACTCCTTCATTAATTTTGTCTGGTGACTTCAATTCAACTCCAGGAGATAAGGTTTAGTACTGCACTTTATTTATTTATTTATTTCTGCAGCCTTGCAGTTAGCAATGTTCTGAATGTTCTTATCTTTTCAGGTTTACCAGTATCTTATTTCTGGCAACTCTTCATCACCATCATTGATGACATGTTTGGAAGAACTTCCCTTTCCATTGTGCAGTGTTCATGCTTTCACAAGAGGAGAACCACCATTTACAAACTGCACTCCAGACTTCACAAATACACTTGACTATATTTTCTTTTCCCCATCTGACTGCCTAAAACCTGTCAGTATTCTTGAACTTCCAGAGTTGGATTCACCTGATGTTGTTGGTGGATTGCCAAACTATAGCCACCCTAGTGATCATCTGCCTATAGGTGCTGAATTTGAAATTACCAAAGGGTAATATGTTCAAGTTCAAATCCATTGAGTTCTTTTCTCACCGGAGAATGGAGAAAGAGATAAAAAGACCAGAGAAAAAGCTGAGAAATCATGCAAAAACATGTTGAGCACATTGACGGGTAAGAGCAGCATTTGTGTGGGCTCCAAAATCTGTTTTTTGGGGTTAAGTTGGGGGAGGGGGATCCAAGTTTAGGATATATCTGTTTTGGGGATAAGGTATGGCTTTCTAATTTATTTGATAGAAGCATTTGATTTTACAAGACTGTAATAAACTGACAAGTAGACATTTTTGGTTTTGGAACTCATTGGTAGAGTGAATGCAATTTTTTTAGAATAATACTCAGAAATTTGGAATTGTTCTGTAAGTTGCTTTTGAGAAGATATGATTGGTTTAATGATGTTCTTGGCTATTAGCTCTCATGTATGATACTTTAGAGTTCTGGGCATCTATGCTAAGTCTATTTTAAGGGGGAGGGCTGGATAAAGTTGTGAGAAAGCAATCAATTTTTAACTTTGTGGCGAGGCATTTCATGCTCAAAAATTGTGGTGAAAGCTTTCAATACAGGCCAAAGTAATGAAGACGTGCTGAATTGCTCATGTAACATGTTCCTGTTTTTGGTTGGCATCTTCCAAGCCTCTGTTAACGTGAGATAAATCTCAGAAAACCTGGAATCATTCAGGTCATGTCTTAGAATGAATGTAGACACCATCTAGTGTGGTATTGTAATCGTACTAATGAAGATAAACTTTTGATTTGCAATGCCAGGAGTCAGGAGATGAGATTAACCAAGGATTTCGACCCTTTCCTTACCCCTTTCTCTCTTGAAATTCAAATCATAGAAGATCATTAACTCTAAGAGGAATATCATAGGAGAACAACCGCAGAAGACGAATTTGTTGCTACTTGGTATATTTATTAGTGAAAACTAAAAGCTATGATCTTCATTGCAAAAATCTTCAAAAGTGAAAAGCAAATGGAAAAAGTTGGGAGTAAAGAGAAATGGAAATGTTATAATGAAAGTGAGGACGGAGACCAAACATGAGGACCGTCTGTTTTACAATAGTGCTCGTTACGTTCGTCTGTCTGTCGTTCTTTCTTTTTTCCCATTTTCTTACTGCTGATGAACGTCAACCTGTCATTGTTGCAAGACGAAAGGAAGCAACTTGCACTGGACCAAAGAAATGAGAGAAATATGGTAAACGATGAGTGACTAGCACTCAATTACGCTGCGTCTCTTGAGCCTTGCAAATTAAGGTTAGTGCAGGCAGACGGATGGTACACAGAGACAAGCACTAGCATTACGCCATTACCAAGGATGAAGGTCATATCCCAGCCTCTTTTCCTATTTGATTGGAAAGAGATTTAATTTCCCTAAACGCAACCAACTCCTATATTTGGAATACCAACGAAGGTGGAAGCGAAAGGGCAATGGTAATTG